CAAAAAGTTCCTTGTTGATCGGAAGTGGAGGGTCCAGGTGGACAACCATCTAACCGACTGGTATCCATCGAGCAGCGGCGTGCGCCAAGGCATTGTACTGGGGCCGATTTGGTTTCTGATCCATATAAACGATGTGCCTCAGCTACTCCAATCATCATGTGCATTGTTCGCAGATGACTTGAAGGTGTGGAGAGTAATCCGCACACTCAATGATTGTGATTTACTTCAGCAGGACCTCGACCGCCTCTCAACATGTTCTGCAGTGGTTAACCTTCCAATCAACCCTGCCAAGTCGCAATTCATGAGGATAGGTAAGTTTGAGCACAGCCCAACGTACAGAGTGGCTAATCAACCGTTGCATCTCGCCTTTTTCGTGCGCGACCTCGGTGTACTCTCACTCTGCGACTAAAACAGCCTTCGGATGCTTTGGGCCCTCAGGCGCAGCTTCAGCACTTGGTCCGAAAAGATTGCCATTCGGCTCTTTCTCTCGATAATACGACCAGTGCTAGAGTACGGCTCCCCCGCGTATTGTCCCATTACCCGGGGCGAGGTAGAAAAGCTTGAGCGGGTGCAGCATGTAGTCACCAGGCTGATTCCCAACTTACGAGGTACGCCATACGAAGACAGATGTAAAAAACTAGGGCTGTACACCTTAGCTTATCGTCGGCTGAGGGTTGACCTCATCATGCCGCACCGGACATTACATCTGAGTGCATACCCTATGTTGAGACAACTGCTTCATCTGCGTACATCAAGCTGCACGCGAGGACACCGGTATAAACTAATAGTACCGAATTTGAAGTGGGTCGCTCACCAACTCTGTTTCGAACGCAGAGTGGTGAATGTCTGGAATGACTTGCCGCAGCAGGTAGTAGAGGCGAACTCAGTGTCCGAATTTAAGAAGCCCCTTGACAAACACTTTACAGAGGCAAAATATGGAGAGCGGAACGGAAAATAAGGAGTATATGTCCAACAGCAACGAATGATGCAGCTACACAGAGAAAGCTTTACTCGCTGCTTCGAACCAGTATTCAGTATAAGCCGCAGTCATCATCTTCCTTGTCATGAAGATAGCTTTGACCGCTAGCCGCACAATGGTTTTCGATAGAAGCTTAGTTCGTTTGTTATCTCAAGCTGACTGCGCTCTTAGTTCTCATTATGTCTGCAGGAGAAATATATTTATTTATTTAACCGGTATATTTGGGTGGTGCAACGTCCACAGGGACTCCGGCGACCATTGATGTTTTCAAGGATGCATTCTCCGTATCCTAATTTTGCCGATGAACATTACTAACGTTTTCCGAGTTTTCCAAAGAGGTAAACCATATCTCTTACAACACCAAAGTTGAGTTCCCTTTTGTCCTTTGCACTGACTTGCACCTTTTCAAAGCGGTCCTAAACCCCCTGAAACTCATTCAGTTTCGTGTAAGCTCTACTTTAAGCCTGCAAAGCATAGCGTCCCGTCTCACAGATGCATAGAACAACTTACTACACTTGCTGGTCACGGTGGGTCGTTAGCTAGCAGCCATCAAGTGTGTGAAAATGATGTGAATTACTCTGGCTCCATTAGCCTTGTTGAACAAGTCAGTTAAACATGTAGCACACATTTTCAAGTCTATATCGCTACTGTACTCGTGGCTCCATCTCTAAGAGGTTTAGGTCAAGCTTATTTTAACTAATGTTCCGAAGTTTGTAACAAGTCAGTAATTGAATTGAAAAAACTATTGATTAACCACAAGTCGATGTAAGCCAACATATGTATTCGGTAATTCTTCATCAGGCATTTATGATTATCTGAAATACAAAATTTTGTATACAGACCAAACGGATCGTCAGTAAGCCAAATTAATTCTAGCGCGCTATGACAAATCGTCGGTTAGGTTCCAGTTGTAGTTATAGGCGTGCACAGGTCAAATGCAGTCCTAGCCAAGGTAGACTCAGCGCGAGAATGAACCTTTTCTGGGTGCACAGTGCTCGTTCGTACAGCCGAATGGCGATGGCTTCTGCAGCGTTTAATATCCGCTTACGGAAATACTTTGATCGATTTTTCGGAGCCTCATAGATTACTTTGAATGAATCAGCTGACTTGGTGGCATGATCCGTATCCGCAAGATGCGTGACGATGGCAGAGTTGGTGACCTTTTGGCCTCCATTTCCGAGCCAGGCCGGATGGTGTTCTCTCACCCTCTCGGATAAGTGTTTTGTCGTACTACCAACGTAGCCTGTTCCACAGGAACAGGTAAAGGAGTAAACACACATTGATTTGGTGTGGACAGGCAGAATATCCTTGAGGTTTAGTCTCACCATTGGGCTGCTGGTGAGCCGGATTTATAACCTCGCCGCTGGAAACATATACCTGCGTGTGTACGAGAGACGGCGGGATAGATTCGCTGACACCTTTTCCCCTTTGTAAGGCAGTTGCTGGAATGGACAGCACACCAACATATTCCTTGCAAATTTATCACGGTCAGTAATAGCAACTATTTTTTAGACCCTTTGTGATTGCTCCGCTTAAAAAGCGACATAAAATTCTAGTTTAATTTTGTCAAAATGCAGACGCTAATAAACCACGCTCGTTTGACCGGCAGGAGATTCTCGGTACATATTCAAGAATATCCTTCGCAAGGCTCTTCACGGCTTTCGTGCCAAATTCTTCCTGCTCGGGTGCGTGTGTGTACGAACAACGAACAGTGATTTATCACAGGTATACTTGTAGGTGCTAGACAATTCTCAAAGGATGGTTAGAGTGTTAATTAAAATTTAAAGAATCAAAGGGTAGGTGAATCGTCAGTGTAAGTGTCTACAGATTTAACTGCACTGCTGCGGAACGATAATCTCAAATGGAAATTGAGTGTGCGCACCCAAAGTAATTTGGAGAGTGGTTATTGCTCAATCACTCGGTGGGAAAAAATAAAGTGGAAATACTAACGCTCCCTCGAGTGCGGCTTCGCTGGACCGTTATGATATGTAAATTAAGTTTAGGTCCCTCCAAACCATTTACATGATCACTTGCTGATTTCCTAACCCCCACGTTGCTGAGAGGGCTGTGGAGCACAAATGTGTTTTGCGTCACTTCATCCTCTCACTGACACAGACTATAACAAGTAGTGTAAGTGGGAAAGCGTGTCACCAAGACGGTGTTTGAAAAGCGTTATTGTTGGAGCGATGGTACGTGGGTTGGAAGGGGTTCCATGTTCAGACCACGCCAAGGGTAAAAAGATATTTTCGGCACTGAAGTCGACTCTAGTGCGCGGCAAACCTGAGCTTGTGGACTTTCAATCTGGAATTTTGGCTCAGTTGCAGCAGGTTGCTACAGTCTGGATCTGGGTTTGCAAGTATTAAGTAAACTGTGACGAGGACCTCTTGTTGACGCCTATATTCACTACCGTACAATCTCAGGGTTTGCAATCTGTGACTGCAGGGGAAGTGAAACCACCCCCTAACGAGTTTGGTGGCTCTACGTTGGGAAGCTTCAAGTGCAACAACATCACGCGTGCGTCAGGAATGCCATCCTTGGATGCGTATCCCACGTGGATCCTCACGTACGCGTTCAGCACTTGCAGAAAGTGTGATGGTTCGAACCTTCCGAAAACCGTCCGCAACAGACCAAGGTGCTGATATTTATGGATAAGCTGTTGGCTTATCCTCACAACTCTGAATTTCCTCACCTTGAACTGGAGCTTGTTTTCGGATGACTACAGATAGGACCTGTCGAGATGGCTATTCAGTGTCGTGTGATCGCCCAATGTCTTGATATCAGGTCAGGTTTTGACATTGTCTGCAAAATAATTAGATGTTACACTGGTATACACTGGCAAGAACTTTGAGGAATACAAGGAATAAACGTGGTCATAGTACCGATTTTAGGACCACATCACACTGGATTTCAAGCCGTTCGGAAATAAAACTGCCTACTCACACATTCAACTGACGTTGAATGAGGAAGTTACTTAAGCAACCTAGCACAGGGGCACAGATTCCACTACTTCGATGTTTGTGTTGGAGAGTGTGGTGGTCCTGGCGATCGAATCCTTCAAAGTAGTCCAAGTAAATGACGTTAAAACCTACTCGGGCTTCGACTGATGCTGTTCAGCTTACTCTGGCTAGCAGAAAATTGATAGTGCAAGACCGATTTCCGCGGAATCCGTGCTGCTGTAAAATTATGATTTTGTCCTCAACTTATCCCATGAGCGCCTCTGCGCTAATACACTCCATTACTTTGGACAACACCGGGAGGAGGGTGATTACGCGGTAGTTCGGGGGTACCGCACCATTCCCACTCATGTGAATAGGTGCGACTTTTCCTTGTTTCCACATTGTGAGGACTTGTATTACATCAAGACATTGTTGAAAGAACGGAGCTAATGGTTCGGCGGCATTCATGGCAGCTGTCTTCAAAGCTTTTGGTCTGATGTCCCCTCCCAGGAAATTTGTACAAGCGCAAGGACGAAAGTCTTTTCATCACATCTACTGCCGTGTAAGATACGTAGTTTCAACTTGGGAACTGTAGGAGCTGTGTCAAAAGCGGGTGAGATGATGCTTCACTCTGAAAGGTTTAAATGAAATGTTAGTGAAGCGCGTTGGTCGCATCTTGTGTCGTTAGCGGTAGACCTTCTTTTGTACGTAAAACCGGGATCCTGCGCTGAACTCTCCCGAGCTTGTTGAGGTGCCTGCACAGCATATTAGGGGTAGTGCTAAATTTCGTCGCTAGGTTCTGTCGGTGTCGGAGTTTGGCCTCACTGATCAACTTGACGCACTCGTTTAGTTGCGTTATCTAGACATCCCAGGCCTGGTTGTCTACACAGGCTTTTTAAGCGTACCAGGCTGAATCCCCTGAGACCATGCATTTTTGGTTCCTGCTCCTCAGGTAGGACTTCTTCTGCTTCGGGCGAACAATGTTGCTTTCCGACGCTCTTGTTACTGGCCCGGGGAATTGAGTGGCAAACTTTCTCCAGGCAACAGCAGGCTGCTGCTTCGTTAAGAAAGACCGGTCTCAAAAGCTAGATACTTGTGTGGAGGCTGTAGACCCTATGCCCCCCCCCCTTGCCCACACAACATTTTGGGGGTGTACCCCCCCCCCCACCCCCCCCCCCCCCCCCCCCCCCCCCCTGTGGCCCCCCCCAACCCTTCCCCCCCCCCCCCCCCGGTTGTGTGTCCCCCCCCCTCTTTTCCCCCCCCCCCAGGTGGGTGGTGGCCCACAAAGGGGGCTGGGAGCGTAGTTTTATCGATGTTCTCATGATGAGTTCGAGTTGCAGGGGTAACGAACTGCGCATCGCGTGATCGGTCGGCTTCAAGTGGTGCATTTTGTGTTCCGCATGTCGGCCCATTTAGTTCCTCGGAGAGCACAAGGTGCACCACCTGTATTGAATCGCGTGGATGGGGGGTGACATGGTTATACAGAGGTTCATCAGGCAACTTACGCGCTCATTGATGACTAAGTCTTGTGTGTATCTCTTCTTCAACAACAACAACGGCAGGAGGCGGAAAAGAGAGAGATAACACTGATGT